CGCGAAGATCACTGCTATTGCAGAGTGGCCCGTCCCCACATCTGCCAAGCAGCTTCGCAGTTTCCTAGGCCTCACCAGCTACTATAGTAATTTTATCCAGGGATACGCTAGGTATTCCTACATCCTTACCTCTACCCTTCTCCGGAAGAACCCGCCGTGGTTTTGGACACCCCTGTGCGAGGACGCCTTTCGCGCCCTCAAGAAGGCGGTGACCTGTGCGCCGGTTCTTCGCCTTCCCGATGCGTCAGATTTTGCAGTAGGAGTTGTCCTTTCTCAGGTGTTTCCCTCTCCTCCCGATTCATCTTACCCCCAGGTTCTCGCAGTAGTTTATGCTACCCGGCATTGGCGTCATTATCTACACGGGGCGCCCTTCACGGTGCGCACGGACAACTCAGTTGTCCAGGCTTTCCTCACGAAGCCTAAGCTTTCCCCTCGACAGGCACTGGTGGCGTGACTTATCCGAGTTCAGTTTCACCACTCAGCCCATCAAGGGTGAAACGAACAGCGTCGCCGATGCCTTGTCCCGCCGTCCTGATCACAATCAGGAACCCATCCACCTTGCTGCCATCTCCATCACCACTGTTGATCAGTCGGTGATCGACGTGTATCGTACTTAGTACCGCCACTGCCCCGAGTATCGCGTCATCCACGCGACACTGCGGAGTGCCAAGACTGTTCCTTCCTACTCCCTCGTGGAGAACGACCTTGGGTACTGGCATGGCAGATCTGGTCAGCTAGAACCACGTATTTGCGTTCCCTCCACCGGACAGCTCCGCGTCCAGGCTGTAGCAGAGTTCCATGACTAGGCAACTGCCGGTCACATGGGTTTCCACAAGACGTTGGCTCGTGTTTGCCGCCTATACGTCTGGCCGAAGTCCAAGGACTTTGTCAAAGCCTACATCCAGGAGTGTCCCACCTGCCAGGAGGTGAACAGTGCGAACCACCTTCCGTATGGGTTACTTCAGCCCCTACCCATACCTCAGGGTCGTTGGCAGTCCATCTCGGTGGACTTCATTGGTCCCCTCCGCCCACCCACTGAGCGCGGTCATGATGTTATCTTGGTCGTCGTCGAACGCTTCACGAAGGTGCACGTTTTGTCCTATGCCGCTATCGCATTAGCGCTCATGAGGTCGCCGACATCGTCTTCGACCGAGTCGTGAGAGATCACGGCTTACCTCAGAGCATCATCTCCGACCGTGACCCGCGCTTTACCAGCACATTCTGGCGACGCCTACACGAGGTGTACGGATCCCAGCTCCGCTTCTCATCGTCTTACCACCCTCAGACGGATGGTCAGATTGAGGTCACCAATAAAACTCTTGGTAATATCCTCCGAAAGTTTGTTAGGGATGACCAGCAGTGGGACTTACACTTAGCCCACACGGAGATTGCGTACAACCACGCTGTTTCGCCAACCACGGGGATGTCGCCATTCTATTGCGACCTCGGCTACCACCCTCGCGTACCCGCGGACTTCCTACGACCATCGCGGTTGCGCCCAGACACTCGTTGCCCTGCGCTTGACGACTGGATCGCCCACATGGCGGCGATTATAGAGCGCACACACGAGAGTTTAGCCGACTCCCAGATTCGCATGGCCGCACGAGCGAACCGATCACGAATGGATCATCCATTCAAAGTCGGTGACGATGTGCTCGTCGACGCTTGCCACTTACAGCTCGAAGTAGATACACTTCGCAAGTTCAGGCGTCGTTTCTTCGGTCGATGCCGTTCCTTCAGCTAGATCAGTCGGTTCTGATACTGCCGCTAGTGCGGTCAGCTTCCGTGTGAAGCTACCTGATTACCTTCGACAGGCTCGCGTACACGATGTTTACCACGTCTCCTTGTTACGTCCTTATCGCAGACCGTCCGAGCGCTTCGCCGGACGCCCTTATGAGCGCCCTCCACCTATCATGGTGGACGGTCACGAGGAGTTCATTGTTTCCAACATCGTATCACGCCGAGTTACCGACGATACCCCTCCACGCATCGAGTACCTTGTGCGTTGGAAGGGCTACCCTAATGAGGAGGCTACTTGGGAGCCCCTCGAGCACTTGCAGCACGCCAGGATGTTGGTGCGTGCATATGATCGTGCTCGTCGTGCTAAGACATCTGCTTCTACTCAGCCGACTGACCCTCTTCCTCCCCCTCCGGCTGAGGAGATTGCTGAGGACGAGCCCGCTCCCTCTGAGGCCGTTCCTCAGCCGCAGACGGTCACCTCCGAGCGTCCACAGTGCACTCATCGTCGCCCTTCGCGTTACGATGATTGACACTCTTATCCTCTATCTTTCCCCACTGACTCACACCATCAGGTACTCCATCATCATCTCTTCTTCAGGATCTCAGCGTTTTGCGGCTCTGCTTCGACATCGACTCGACTGCTACTTCATCGACCACTTTGACGACTTCAGCTACCTTATCGACCTCAGCTACTTTGGACGTTACTACTTCACGCCACCACCCTACCCTGTACATTCCCTTGCATCTGTCGCATGATGGTTCTTACTTAGCTGGGTCTCTTTGAATTGGGCTCTCCCTTGGTATCGCATAGGCATTGGGACCGTAGCGTTATCTTGGCTTCCTTGCTCCCAGATCTAGCTCCCTCCTCCCCCAATTGGTGAGTTGTGTGTATGTTTCCCTCACCCACTGCCCCCATCACCCTAGTGTCGGCCCTTGCATGCCTTCAGTTAGGCATATCTCCACCCTATTCCAGGCTCCCCTTTTTTTCATGGTCGACCCTACATGGTGTCATCCTTTTGTCGAGTATTACCCGCCCTGATGGTCTATCTGTTAGGGTCCTTGGTTTTGTTTCGCTACCACTCTCCCACCTTGAGCCTGATGACCTATCCCACCTTCATGTGTGACTGCCCTTAGGAGTTTCGATTCTTAGGCTGGCATGGAGCTTGCTCCGCATCCTAGATTTATCAGCTTTCTTTATTGCAGAGTTCCGCTGCTTTTGCGGATAGTGTGTTTATGGCTCTTGCGATCCATTACAGGTCTGAGGATCGTGCAGCGGGCCTTCATCTGCCCTGGCCTACAGCCAGGGCCTATTTGGCTATTTGCCAGTTCGGCCTGTGGGACCAGGCCGTGGCCTGACCCCACAAGCCATGTGATATTCCAGTCCTGCCCGGTACCACTGTTGGTACCCGGCCAGTCAAGTCAGTCAGTCCGCTGGGGGTATACCCCAACTGCAGTCTATTTTTGATTCATTCTCCATTTACACAGATTGGAGTACGTGCATGTTGAGTCTGCGTTGGAGCTGCGCTGTCCCTTCCACCTCCATCTCCATCTCTATCTCCCCCATCCTCATCCCTTCGTCTTGATCCTTACGGACCGCCATCCCGGCGGGTCCGTCACAACAGTTGGCTGCACAAATTTGGTTGGGAGATATATGTTCTGATACCCATTTGGACAGGAGTGAGATCAGAGGTGATAGGGATGGAAGCAACACTGATTAGGAGATTGAATCCATTCTTGAATACAAGGGGAAAAGGCAGAAAGGCTCGGAAAAATCGAAGACGAAGAAGGAGAAAGAGGAAGAAGAATGAAAACAATGAGGTGAATCAGAATATACCTGTTTTGTTTTAATCGGTTCAAAAAAAGAATGATATGAAGATTTTTCTTCACATATCAGAAGTATGGGAAGTAAAAAGAAGATTGACACAATGTATCCTATCACGATTGGACATAAATCCTGGAGAAACTTTTGTGGAATGCCGTAAAATCTGGTACGAGAAGACCCGAAAACTCTTTCCGGAATCGAATCACTACGAAATTATACAACAAACGGAATTTGAGATCACTCAATTGGCCAAAAATACGTATCATGGATGTGGGTTGAAGAAAATCGCAGAATGGGATGAACCGGGATCATACGAAAATGCGTATACAATTCCAAAAAACAAGGACGTCACCAGACGCCGACAAATTGTGTCGACATATAAGGAGTCATCTCGGAAAGCATCGGAGGTACTATCAAGAGCTATCAACTTCATGTGTCAAACATTTAAAGTTGGTTTCTCACTAAAAGAAACGAACCAACTACTACCTAGACTGAAGAAATGCAATCAAGTAGCAAAAGAAACATACGGGGATATGGCTACGATAATCTGCTCCACATACGACGTCAAAGATATATTTTCAAATCTCGATCACACACATATCTTAAACGTCATGCAATGGATGATGAAAACAGCGAAAGAAAAACGGAAAACCCACTTCTGTTACAAGATGAGAGGAAAGTACATAAACTTTGGAAAAGCAAACGGAACCTACGGATGGAGAACATTAAAAATTGAATGCCTAATGGATCAGTTGTACTATGACATCAAACACACATACTTCAAACTTCAAAGTACAAGGAATATTATTATGCCAAGTAATGGGGATACCAATGGGGAAGGGCTCTAGCCCACCCATTCCCAACATGGTATGCGCGTTCGACGAGTACAGATGGTGTGCGCAGACCGGAATTGATGAGAAACTTATCCACCGTATGAGTTTTGTGGACGATGTAATAATGATCATAATAGCAAGTAAGGAAGATCAAACGAAAGAGTCGGAATGTCTGAAATATTTTCAAACATGCTACCGCCAATCTCTAAAACTTGAAATAACATCAGACAACGCGAACACATAATTAACATATCTGAAAACAAGGGTGACGAAATCAATCAACGAACAAAATCATAAAATATGATGAAAGTAGCTCCATATTGAAGGCATGTGAAAGCGACTGCGGGAGATCCTGAGGATAGATGATGAGTACACTGCAAGGATAGGGAAAGTGGCGGGGAAAGACTGGGAACGAAGGGTATAAATACTGAGGATAGTGGATGGAATGATTACCTGAGCAGTGAGGTAGAAGGGTAATCGCGACTGGTCTCGCATGCCATGGACATTACGTGTATTCTGTGAAAGTAAAACCTCCCACGTTCTGTCTACATTTGCATGTGTTTATCTTTCTCTCTCTCCCTCTCTCTCTCTCTCATCAACAAATGGAACAAAAATCACTCTTTCTCTCTCTCTCTCTCTCTCTCTCTCTCTCTCTCTCTCTCTCTCTCTCTCTCTCTCTCTCTCTCT